CCACATGCATGACCATTGATAACATTAAACTCATCCAACACCACATGCATGACCATTGATAACATTAAACTCATCCAACACCACACGCATGACCATTGATAACATTAAACTCATCCAACACCACATGCATGACCATTGATAACATTAAATTCATCCAACACCACAAGCATGACCATTGATATCATTAAACTTAATACATTTATCATGCAAGGCGGGAAGCGGAAGAGTTGACGCCTCACCTGCTGTCGACCAGCTGCTGAAGGAGGTCGTCGCAGGGCAGGAACTCAGAGCCCTGGAGTGGAAGACGGAGCCACAACTCCCCGCGGTGGTGGCGGGTAATCTGCTGCCACGCGGGTGTCCTCAGAACTTCCGGTGACGCCTGCACCGTCAAGGTCAAGTCTTCAGCGTGCGGCAGCATCAGGGCAACCCCCTCCAGGTCACGGTCTGCGGGATACGAGCTTGTAAGAAGTTGCGGTGTACTTTATTTTTTCATACCTTTTAACGAAACATTTAGCTTTTCTCATTAAATAACAGTAAGCTCACTCACATCTGAAATTCCCCTGACCAACTTCTGACTTTTCGTATGCAGAAAAACGTTCATTTATCAGGTTCGTTTAAAAGCAAAAACAAGCGCGCATCTCACCGCGCGTTATCATGAACTTCCCGTCCTCCGCCATGGTCGCCTGCGCGGCTGTGATGGCGAGCCTCGTCTCGTGGGGGCGGCACAGCAGCACCTCCAACCAGTCCTGCGCTGAGGCGCCCGCTTCCTGCATGGTACGATGCATTTCTGGCCACTGAGCCTCGAAGTCCTCAGCGTTGACGGACCGCAGTTGCGTGAGTACTTGGCCTATGGCCTCTTCAATCCTGTGAGTGAAGGAGACTTGAAGCAGTCCGCTCAGCTCTCATGAGCTTGGCAAGACTTGCATAGGGATACAAAAAATGTTTCTGTTTTACATTATATATATAAATATTTATGGATACCTAATGCAAGCTGTGTAATCTCTTGTCTTCATAGTCTATTGCTATGTTTTTCACAATTACATTTATTTTCGTCGTTATGGGGCGCTGGTGGCCACTGCAGGACACGCTACGGCGATATCTAAAAGCTGTGCGATGGCGGCACTCACTCACCGCGTAAAGTTAATGTCATCCCCAAAGCTCACAAGACGACCAGGGGTTGACCCACGTAGATCGCCCAGAGAACCCTGAGCACCCCAGGTCACTCCCAGAGTGCAGAGTAAATCACCCAGGTCACTCACCCAGCCAAACCAGCCCCACTCACCCGTCGGGGTCACGGAGGACGTCCGTCACGTGAAGTTTCACCCAGCCGCCGCTGCCGGGATTAACGAGCTAAGTTTGTATTAATTGGAGGCTTGTTCAGTGGCACTCATCATTCATCAACAACTGACTAATGTTTATCAATTAGGTGAGTAATTTAGTGCTGATATTAACTGAATATAGGCTTAATAAAATGAATATCAGCCGGAGCTAATTGTACACCAACTGATTTTTTAAAATAAATAACTTTGATCAACAATAGGCTGAAAAGCAAATAATTTAATAATTTCTATAACAATATTTGTTACAGAAACGCGAGTCAGCTTGAGTCATCATGGAACGTGTGTCGGTATATCTACTGAGACTCGCGGCACGTGTGTCGGTATCTACTGAGACTCACGGCACGTGTGTCGGTATCTACTGAGACTCACGGCACGTGTGTCGGTATCTGCTGAGACTCACGGCACGTGTGTCGGTAGCTATTGAGACTCACGGCACGTGAGTCGGTATCTACTGAAACTCACGGATCTCTTGTGTATCGCGTGTGGCCGGCAGCGTCACTCCGGACGCCTTCGAGCCGCAGTTCCTCCAGCAGTTGCCGCAGCTCATCCTCTCCCACCTTAGAGTTCCTCAGCCATATGCTCTCCAGCCTGCACACGGAAAAACAGAAGAGCATCCACTAGTCACGTCTAACTTGTCCCTGGATTTACGGACCAGACGAGCATCCCGTGTTCCCAGCGTGGAACAAACGTGAGGAACACAAAAAAAGTTTCATACATAATCACTTAGGCATCATTGAAAACAACTATTGGCTAGTAACACAGCTGAAATAGCCAGAATAGATAATGAGAATAGAATAGGCAAATAGAAGGCAAGGCAACGGGAAATCAACACGGGCTTATGAATCAACGGGGGCTATATCAGTCAAATCAACACGGGCTATAAACAATTCCAATCAAAAGTAACTAAAACGAGGATATTACTTGGTTGCAAACATGATTACTTATATCGCTTGGCACATTGATTTTCCGACACACTAGTGTCAAAAACATGGGTAGTGAAATTTAGAATTTAAAAGTTGCTATCGGGCACGGGACGAAATGATTTATTCGATGAAACGTTTATGTTCAGGATTTGTAGAATTCTGGTGGTTTATTATTTCTCATTAATTTCTAATTAATTTGCGATTGAGGCAATTAAGTGATCACAAAACTGAATGCTTCCTCCTCTATCACAGTAAGTAAATAACCTTTTGGTGTTTGGGGCGACTTTGTTGATGGCCCGGGCGATGGCCTCACAGCTGCCGGGCCCGGTGCCCCACACCCACAGATGGGGCGGGGGCAGGGCTGGCAGACGCACGTCAGCTCGGGGGCTGGGCGGCCTCTCGACCGCAGCGTCGTGCCCCTCCTGGCACGGCGGAGGCAGGGCCGGCTGGGGTGCGGCAGACCAGGCGGCGTCCAGCGGCCAAATGTACACGACTGCAAGTCAAACAACGACCAATATTACGCGTGGGAACTGCTGTGCTTATGGCAACACGAGGGCCAGACTTCACCCAGCACAGCTGCCTGCCCTCACCCATTGTGGTTGCCAGCCTTCAATAGATAGTTCTCAGCCTATAATGTATGGCTGTCTGCTTGTATTGCATGGCAGCCAGCCTATAATGCATGGCTGCCAGCCTATAATGCATGGCTGCCGGCCTATAACACATGGCTGACTGCCTATAATGCATAGCTGTCTGCTTATAATGCATGGCTGCCAGCCTCTAATGCATGGTTGCCAGCTTATTATGCATGGCTGACAGCCTATAATGCACGCCTGCCAGCCTATAATGCACGCCTGCCAGCCTATAATGCATGACTGCCAGCCTATAATGCATGGCTGTTAGCATATAATGCATGGCAGCCAGATCATAATGCATGGCTGCCAGCCTTCACTGCATGGCTGCCAGCCTTCACTGTATGGCCGCCAGCACTCAATGTATTGCTGTCAGCCGTTAATCAGCATAGTTGCTTGGCCTGCCAACTGTTACTAACTCGTATCCATCAGGGTTGCGAATATCCGGTCAGAGTGGCGCCCAAAACTCACACAGCCTAATTGCCATCCGTCCTACCGAATGTTTACAACCATTACTCAGTGTTGTAATCTATTTTAACCCAGCATGATGGCTTGGTTCCAACCAGCATGATTGCCTCGTTGCATCCCAGCATGATTGCCTGGTTGCATCCCAGCATGATTGGCTGATTGCAACCCAGGATGATGGCTTGTTTGCAACCCTGCATGATTGCCTGGTTGCAACCAGCATGATTGTTGGTTGCAACCCAGCATGATGCCTGGTTGCAACCCAGCATGATGGCCTGGTTGCTACCCATCAAAATGTCCTGGTTGCAGCCCAGCATAATGACCAGGTTGCAGGTTGCAACCCC